TTTCAGAAAGAGAGAGAGAGAGAGAGAGAGAGAGAGAGAGAGAGAGAGATTTCTATATTTATAATAAATACACTTATTTACATACAGCTTTAACACGCAGTGAGTCTGTCCAATCGATTTCGCTATTACTAATGGTAAATATAAAAATCCTTCATTAATTAATTGATATATAAAAATATTCAGTCTTTTTTTTAATATTGTATATACAATTGCCAAAAAAAGAGAGAGAAACTCTAGTACACGCGATATCTGCATGTTATGTCTTACAAACATACGAATTGTAACTGCACACCGAATAATTGTCCTCCGGTATCGGCTCGTAGTCCTCGTGACTATTGGAGATTGCACTCTCATTAGGTTTAGTTCCTTTAACATGACACTTGTTTCTAGGCATACCAGAAGTGATGCACAATTCTAGTAGGGCCCATTCTTCTGTAGAAATCAACGAACCATCTTCACTAAGGGAACTCGCTGAACTGTGTCGCGAAGGCATCATGTTGGATTTCACTGTGTTGTGATTTTTACATGTATAATCGTCGCTATTTTTAATCCTATTACAAATCGGCATACATTTCACATCGCAAGATTGCAAGGGCGCATATAAATTATCGACAAAACTACCGTTTTGACTCTCTATATGATGAAGCGACGATCTTCGAGCACAATGCGGTGAAATGTTTATCCTTTCGCGCGTACCGTTATCACAATTTTTTAATGTCTGAATGGAAGTTTGTGTTATATTACTGCTTGTTGTTTTCCCAGGAAAGTAGTTAAAATTGCCGGATATATTTCTCGTGAAACGTACATCCGTTGTGTTGATGTTCGCAGATTTGTACAACGATGGTGAATACAGCGTGGTATTCCTGGGAGAATAAGATTTATTCGCAATATAAGAAACCGAAGGGATGGAAAAATTGTTTGCGGCTTTCAAAGATGGTTCAGATGTTTTGATTGTGGGTGTCATTGCTGTAGATGATATAGCATTTAGTACCTAAAAATTAATTTATATCACATGTATCAAACACAAGAATATTTTTCTTCTAAATTATATAAAATATTTTAAGTGTGAAGTGCAAAAATATTCTTTATTAGTGTAGTTTTTAATGTATTCATTTTTTAGCGCCTGTCAAGGCGCAATGTCTGTGTATATTTTATTTATACATAAATACAACTTACTTTTGGCATACCAGATTTAATACATTGTGCTAACATATCTTCTTCTTCTTCTTCTTCTTCTTCAGAAAGTCCATTGTCTTCGAAAGACAAGAACTTTTTCACTATATTTTTTTTTTGTTCCATACATCTTGGCTGAAAAAATGTTGATGAAGTGGGAGATGACTGTATGTTCATTGTTGCAAGATTTTCTATAGTTTGTGCTAATGGCGATCTAATTGACGGTGATAAACTAAATCTTGCCTAAAATATAAATTGTTGAATAAATAATATAAATCAAACAACTAATTGCTACACATAAAACATCCGGCTTAAATGGATACAAATGTTTCAGTTTTAAAATAACAACCTTTGGCATTGCGGATTGTATACATTCCGTCAAAATTGCATCGTCATCTGAATGATTTACGCTATCATCTGAAAATTCGTCCGGATGTCTCAATGATGCGCTACCTGACGATTTGGGACTCAACATGGAATTTTTATTTCCATGATTTGTCTCAACAGGTGAAGACGATGGTGTACCACATATATTAAACTTGTGTGATAGTATTTCAGATTTTTTGACAAACAGAATGCCATTTGGAGGTGGAGTTATCTGTCTTGCCTATAAATTAAAAATAATAATAAACAGATTAGTTTCAACAATAATTTTTATATCTTTTAAACATTTCTACATTTTTAATTAATGTATCTTTAAAACTCCACACAAAACGTTTTCAAGCAAATCTAGATTTTACGTCTACATACATACTACAAACTGATTAAACAGTTAAAAGTTTATTAAGTGAAAAGGTATGAAGTTGTATAGTAAAAATTATAAAATTTCTAAATGATAAATAAATACACAAGATCAAAGAAATTAATACCTTAGGTATACCCGATTGAATGCATTCATCTAATATTTTTTCATCTTCGCCCGAAAGATTGGAATTTTCATCAAACAAGTCATTTTTATGGCAATTAATCTCCATCAATTTGTCTTGCTCACAAACATTCTTCTCTATATCTTCCTGTACACTTGGTATTGAGAGCGCAGATAAATTAGATTGAGATCCTACTGGAGAGATATCTGCTGGCGTATCTTCGGTGCAATATACATGTACAGTATCTGAAGTAACAATCTCCATCGCAGTTCTATTTTTTGAAGTATCAACAGATGTGTTAGTAGGAGTCATATGCGATTCCAATCTATTTGGAACAGAATTTCTCTGATATGGCATTAAAATGCTTGACGATTCTGGTTGAATAGATTTTTGAGCGTTCAGAGACTGTCTATATCTGTATAAATTTTTAAATAATTTATCTACAAATTATAGCATAAATTCTTTTTCTATAATATATTACCTGTTAGTTTGCATTCCCATATTAATACAAGCAGCCAACATATCCTCATCATCTTCATCACCATCACTTACTTGTTCCTCTTTCAAGTTACTTTCTGAGCTATTTATTTTTATATTAAACATATCTTTCTCAAGTATATGAACTGTATCTGTTTTATTTGTATCAAATACTTCTTTCTCTTTACAATATGTCTTCTTAGTATCATTAGGTATTTTAATTTCATCATCTATTGTAAGAGAGCTCAGACTTGTTGTACTGGAAAATTCAATTGGTGTTGATTCTTCTTTAAAAGTGACAATGTCATCTTCAAAAACACTATTCCTTGTGATATGAGGTTTAGAAAATACTACAACAGATATAAAATTTAGGCAATATTTTTAGATAAACAATCATTAATATTATTATCATTATTACTATCATTAGTGATAAATAACATTGCCTACATAAATGTTGGACCGACGGTCTTACTGCTTCTTCTTGTATCTTTGATATAAATTCTGTATTCTGGGTTTTATGATTTCGTGGACTCGATAAAACTGTTTGTGTGGGCGAATCAGGTAGCTCACTGGGTGAAACTACGCCACTCGTTCTACGACTGAAATAACAAAAAATAGTATTATATTTTTAACAACTAATATAGAGAAACAGGGCAATGAGCTAATAAATTACGTTAAAAATCTTTTTAAATTAATGTAATATATTGCGAAGAATATCACGTAATTATGGCGTTTCGTCCATCTCAGCTTCCACTACTGGACTCATTAGTAAGGCATTATAGTGGAAGCCTACCTTATACGTCTGAGAGAGTTATTCAATCGAGATTCTATATGAAGAAATATACGAGTATCGAAGTACTTGCGAGAATTTGCGAATATCGATAGACCTCTGATGGCGGATCAACGTAATAATATTCTTTGCAATATTTATCCAAAGTAATATATGTATTCCCCTCCCCAATTTGCGCGCCGAACAATCGTCGGTCTTGAAACACTCTATCTGAGTATTATATTTTTTGCAAAATTGAAACATTAAAATTAAATTTAAAATGTTTAAGATATTTGCTTAAAATTAACGATGTTGGAAGTAAAATACAACCACATAATATAATATTCATGATTAAAACAAATATTGTAGAACTGGCCGCCTGGTTCCCAAGTTGGGGAGTCAGACTGACGCACTGCTGGGCTTGCCTAACCTGAGCGGTCCTTGCAGGGCGCTGCGGAGGTTTTATGCACACACCGTCCTGTCGGGGTTCCTATATGAGGCCCCGGTGTGGTCGGGGAATGCGGTGCGCAGCCGCCGCATTAGGAGAATTATGCACAGTGTGCAAAGGCGACTATGCATTCGCATCATCCGGGGCTATAGGACGGTGTCCTTTGCTGCTGCCACTTTGTTGGCGGGGCTTCCGCCCGCTGACCTCCTGGGCTCCGGGCCGGACGGTTGTCCACCGATTGGTGACCGACTGACCGTCTCCCGACACGAGGGGGTGCCTGTGTCACCCTTCGTATGGCCGTGGCTTAGAGGGGGATTGTGAGGGACCGGGTCTTCGAGAGATGGACAAGTCTGCGCGAGGACCCGGTTCTCTCAAACAAAAGGATCGTGTAGACTATCGGCCCGCTCGCAAAAGAGTGGGCTGACAGACAGTGGAGCGGTCTGACGTTCCGGACGACACAGGTGCTCACCGGACACGGGTGCTTCAGTGAGTACCTGTGTCGAATTGGGAGGAAGCGAGAACCCCGTTGCAGTCACTGCGGGGCGGAGGAGGACACCTCGCAGCACACGCTGGAAAAGTGCCCGGCGCGGGCTGTGCAGCGAGGTGTCCTCATAGGTAAGATAGGGGAGGATCTCTTGCTTTCCGGCATCATAAAAGCGATGCTGGAGAGCGAGGAAAAGTGGTGCGCGGTCTCCTCCTTCTGCGGGCAGGTGATGCTCGCGAAGGAAGAGGCCGAACGCGAGAGGGAGGGGATCCGTTCCCGTCCCCCTCAGCAGGAAGCCCCCGGGGTGGATGTGGATCAAGGTAGACGCGGTTGTCGTCCGCCCCGTGGGCGCAGAAGAATCAGGGGGCACGCCGCCGACAGGGGTCGGTGACCCTAAGTCTGGAGGTGACACAGAGTCACCTGTCTTCGCGCCTAACTCCCCCAAAGGGTGGTCGGGCGAGGAGTGGTTTTCCCCCCTCGCCCGTCGGAGTTAGGAGATCCCGTAAGGGACCTTCTCGGAAGGGAAGGCCCACGCCTTCGGACCCCAGAGACGCCCTGAAAGAATGCATCACGAGTGCCCAGGGCGTCACCATTATGGGCAAGAGGAAGGGTACTGGCAGAGATTTTAGTGGGTATTCCCGTCCTAGTTAGGACGGGTGAGTCCCACATAACCCGATCAAGTTCTCGTAACTGGCCGGGTATGCGTAAATGCATTTCTCCTGCCTTCCAAAAAAAAAATATTATAGAACTTTTGTATTATATACACTGCGCACAACAATTAGGGGATCACTTTAAAATCTGCAAATTTTATCGATATTTAAGAAAGCGTATCTCCGCTTCCAGAGCAAGACAATTTTTCTGGGTGCGTTTTAAAGGGTGAAACTTCTACTTTGAAACAGTTAATATGATATTTGCCGTCCCATCAAATGATCTTTTTCGCAAAAACCAGAAGTCGTATTAAAATTCTAAAAATTTTACGAATTTCCAACTTTTCACGGACAAACAGGCCGAAAAATCTCATTACATCCATTTTAAAGTCTAAAACTTTTCCTTTAAAATGAGACCACGATCATTACTCTACAAAGCAAAAAAGACCACTTTTGCTTCAATGTTGAATAACTCGGTGAAAAAAATCATACAAAGCTCAACAAAAAAACAAATTAAAGGTAAAGATTCACGCTTTCGAATGATGTAAACAGGCCTGACGAGAGGGGGGGGGGGGGAACGGGGGGATTCCCCCCGGGCCCGGATTTTTTGAGGATACCGATTTTCTAATGAATAAATGAGTTAGCCTGCTCACCGAGCGACTGAACATGATTAGTTCTTACCTATGGAGCCAACCAATCAGACCTAGCCGCTTTACTAGCTTGAACTCGCCCATATAGTTTCTTATTTTTTGTAAAAACATTCTAAATTGGTATATATTACGAATAAATAAATTTACGTAACTAAATATATAAAAACATGTAGTAGAAGGCTCGTTAAGTTTTTCAAACTAATAATAAAGAGAGAAAGGGTATACGAGCAAACAAATTCGTTAAAACATTTAATTTTATTCTATATATTGCGAAGAATATTACGTATTTTTGGCGTTTCGTCCCAGCTTCCACTACTGAACTCATTAGTAAGGCATTTGTAGTGGAAGCCTACCTTAGACGCCTGTGTAAGTTATTAAATCGAGATTCTATATAAAGAGATATACGCGTATCTCAGCACTTGCGAGAATTTGCGAAAATGGATAGACCTCTGATAGCGGGTCGACGTAGTAATATTCTTCGCAATATTTACCCAAAGTAAGAACAATGTCCTATTAATAATTAACTAATATACGTAAAATATATGTAATCCCTCCAAATTTGCGCCGAACATTCGTCGGTCTTGAAACGCAATTCCCATATTCCCCCCCAAATTGCGCGCCGTACAATCGTCGGTCTTGAAACACAATTTTAATAATCTGAAAATTACTGAATCTGGAAAAATTGTGATAAGAACGCATATTTTCAATCGCGTAAATTAATAAAAAAATAATTTTATCAATTCTACTAGATTCCTTTTAAACTTCTTCCAACTGATGTATAATCTAAAGAATAATTGCGGAAAACAAATTAATTATTTAATCGGAAATTTTTAGAGAGAAATTATATTATGAAAGTAAAAAATGAGAGAATTTGTTTTGATCAACAAAATATTTTAAGAGTAAGTAAAAAGTTCGTTTATTCTGAAAATTAATTGGAAAATCCAGAAAATATTAAACCCAAAAATGGACTTTTTGGTGGCTCGGGATAAGAGACTTGTAGTGTCTTTCAGTTTTTGAACATGGCCGGAGAAACACTAGTTTTTGTTGCTAGTGGTTCTTTTAGCGTGCTTGCAACAAATGTGTTCTTGCAAATATCAGGCAAAATAAAATAAAATAAAAAACGAAAAATCTTGCAAGCATGTTGAAGATATTTAGTTAGTCTTTCCTTCTCTGCATTCTTTCTTATTTAGATTAGATTAAAAATTCTAAATCTGCCGCTCCTGATTGGGAGTAATATCTGCGTGAAATAGGGGCCCGTAATTTTCTTCTCCCGGGCCCTGCTTTTCTCTCTACGGCCCTGGATGTAAACCACATTTGTGCATAATTTTTAGTTCGCGTCGTAGAACTTCTCAAATTTCGTAAAAATTGAGATTTGACTTCATCTTCACTTATGTTTGTGTAACTTCACGAAATATTAATAATACCGTTTTTTTAAATATCGGTATTAAAAGTAAAGATTTCAATCTTGAAAATGGTTTTTTAAATATCTCGATACGATGATTCTTGACGAGTTTTATCTTGAATTTGCCTGTAGTTTTTTAACAAAATTGGAGTTACTTAATATCAGGAAAAAGGGTCATTTTACTTCAACTTTGAATAACTCGATAAAAAAAATCGTACAGAGCTCAATAAAAAAATTAAAGGTAAAGGTTCACGCTTTCGAATGCTGTAAACCGAATTTTTATACGATTTTTAATTTACGTCATGGAACTTCTCAAAGTTAATAAAAATTTTTGAGATTTGACGCACTTTTATTTGTACCCGCATAACTTCATAAAGAATTAATAAGGAGAAACAGGGCTACGAGCCAATAAATTCGTTAAATTCTTTAATTTATTCTAATATATTGCAAAGAAAATCACCTAATTTTGACGTTTCGTCCCGGCTTCCACTACTGGACTCATCAGTAAGGCATTGTAGTGGAAGCCTACCTTATACGCCTGTAAGAGTTATTCAATCAAGATTCTATATAAAGAGATATTCGCGCATATCTCTTTATTTACATATCAAAGCACTTGCGAGAATTTGCGAATATCGATAGACCTCTAATGGCGGGTCGACGTAGTAATATTCTTTGCAATATTTATCCGTAGTAATATATGTATTGCCCCCACCCTCCCAACTTGCGCGCCGAACAATCGTCGGTCTTGAAACGCAACCCTATCTGAAAAATTCCCCCCCAAAAGTAAAGAATATTAATCAAATCAAAACATCAAAATACCATTTTTGAAAGTAAAGATTTTCAAGTAAAAAATAGAGCCTATCCAAGCGTCGTAGAGCAAAGGGGCTGAGGAGCCCAGTATCTCAATTGGAATAACCTGTCATTCTCTGCCTGTGACATCCATAACAGCGCTATACTAATCTTTTTCGTAAATTCTTATTTCTTATTATAGAAAATATGAATATTGACATGTTTCCAATTTCAATACAATTGTATGTAACAATGAATATTCATTGTTTAATTATGTATTGACTCAATAAAGCGTAATATGTTCAGTGATATTTTTGGCGGTTGTTTACGTTCTATCTTGCTCTATCGAGACGGCGGAGGGGTGGAAGCATTTAGACTCACGAACCGAATTGGACAGGTGTATATACAGGGTGTCACT